CCTTCCGTTAAGATTGCTCAGGCGTTTTCATTGAACCTGCCAAATGTCTGTAGGGTGGAGCTGCTCTTGCTGCTTCAGAATCCTGTCTACATAAGGACCTACAAGTCTCGTACAGCATCACAGGACATGCAGTAGAATGTGTCAGAATATCTTAAACCCTTTGAGTAAGGTGAGAGTGGAAGCTCTCCGTTTGCTCTGAGCTCTGGATGTCTTCACTGTGATCAGCTTCGCGTTGGCAGGCACCGGCAGCTCCTTGTAACATGGTGTAGTAAAGGATGGGACACCCAGAAGTGCTTTGTCCTCGCTGGCATAGATGGCGGGGACCAAGCAGCCACAGGCACCACCTTTCCTCGCCCTCCTCACTGCCTCGTGGAAGACGTGCTGTACAGAGTGGAAGTCTTGACAGGCCGACACCTCGAAGAATACACATCCAAAATGAGACGCCAAGGCCTCACCATCCGACTGACGCACCTGTCTGATAGGAAAAACACCTTTACAACAAGTATCACTGTCATGGTCTGCAATCAACAGATGTCTTCATGAATTAAAACACGGCTTTATAACAAGGTGCAAACCACTCGTTACACTTAAGAGCAAGAAGGCCAGATGTTTTGGTAAGGGTATGGATGTCAGTGGAGCTGGGTCACTGGTGTTTATTGATGACTGCAGGTAAAAGTGGCAAAATGAAATGTGACGCATGCAGGCCTATAATACGGATCAGACAGCACACATGTACAACTGGATAATGACCCAAAGGATACTCCAACACCAACCCAAGAGTTTGTGCAGACAAAGACATTTTCTTTCAATGTTCAGCTCAGTCACTCGTTCTCAGCACAACAGAGCTTTTCAGTTGCTAAAGCCGAAACTAAAGGCAGAGAGAGAAAAAACAGTGACTGCTGTAAATGAACTCAGCACCTGGTGATGATCGTGGTGTCAAGACTTTAGTCATTGACTGCAAAGCATTTTAATCCAAAATTTTTATTTTAAATTATACTAGTTTTTGAGTATCTAACGGTCAACACAATGGTTTGTTGAGTCCACTGCTTTAAAGATGGAAGTTAAACATGTGTTAATTGTTAATTGTACCTAATTAAGTGTCTAATGAGTGTGTATCAAAAAGGTGTTCTAAAGTCAAATCTACAAATTCGGACTTTGGCGTCTTTTTCATTTCTCCAGGGACGTCTGAGACAAAGATTTCTTCATGTGGCCAATTTCAGTGAAAAGGTCTAATTTACAGAAACACACACACACACACAC